CCTGATCCCAGACGGGTCCACTGTGAACCGATGCGGGTTTGTCAAGGAAACGCCATGCTGACCTCAGAGCGTGAGCCACCACCTGCACAGACAGGATCAGGTTTTAGATTACACCTCAGTCCAGCTGTAACCGTTAGACAGTTCATGCACTCCATTACACTGCAGAGTAAGCAAACAGCTGCACGGGGCCCAACAAGGCCCTCCAACAAAAAAACATGTGGCTGTGAATGAATGATAGGGTCGCACGGCTCTGTGTTCACAATCGTGTAGTGAAAAAAGTGGTCATCAATCAATTTTTATTATATTAAAAAAGCAAAGACATGTGCATTTGTTTTTATTGTAATGACTGATCAACATTTCTTGCTTTGTCTGAGACTAAACCACTGCTCTGGTGGAGTCAGACCAACCAGTCTTAACTGGGAGAGCTCTTTGATTTCACCCATAAATAAAGACATTAGCAGTGCAATCTGGTGCATGACCCATTCAGCAGAATTCAGGAAATTAAGGGCCTGACTCTCACAATTTCCTCCAGGACCCCCACATGAATGTGCTCCTTTCTATATTATTTACACCCGTGTGTGTCAGTATGTAATGCAGGGGTGTCACGCATGCAGCCCAGCCTGCCAGAGGGTCTGATCCGACACCCTGGATGACTCTGCAAGGTGAGAAAATTGCAGAAAAGTCTTCAATAATTTAATCTTCTTAATAAAGTAATCTGCTGTTCTATAAAAACATCAAATAAAATTGTTACTTAGACCTAAATAACCCCACCTGAGCTTTTAAAGAGCCACTTAAATCTGTGAAGCACATGTAATGTCAGCTCGATACAAGCTGTTTCAACTGCTCTTCTGTTATGTCTTCTTATATACCTTAAAAGGATATCCATGTTAAACATCCCCAGCTACAAAACACATTTACGCTCTGTTAAAAACATAAAATTATTCTGATGCAGAAGGAATATCAGCCAGAGGACGACCCCGGAAAGACCTTTCATATGCTATAACCTGTTTGTCCAGCCACCTGTCCCACGTGGTCCTCTGACCCTTGAGCCCTGAAAGGTAACTCAAAGTACTTTTCCCATTTTTCTCCAGTGACTTATAAGCACACAGATAAAACATGTTATACACATTAAATTAGTGCATTTTCACTGCTGAATCTATGTTTTATCTCATGATAATAAAGCTTAAAATTAATTATAGAAAAATGAAATGTTGGCTGTAGACTGTCACACCTGCAGTGGATCTAAACCTGATTCATGTGCAGTTTAAACAGAGCTTACATGTGTTTTCAGTCCTGGAATTTTATTAAGTTATAAGGGCTCAAATGTGTTCTTGCTTGGGGGTCTCTAACTCTGAGAACAGCCATAATATGAAGGGAAAAGTTTCCATTACTTCATTAGAAACGCTAAAGTTATTATATTAAAGAAATCAGCTGATTCTGGGGGATCACGTGGAGGTATTTTCAGCTTTTACTGGTTTGACACTAATCCAAAGATTATTACGCAATGCTTTCATTGGCCCACGCTGAGCTGTATGTGACCATGAACTAAATCACACACCCCCATGTAACCCGATTTGATTAGTGTAACTTTATACGTATTATAAGTGTTGTGAGCAGACAGAAGGAATGTAGGTCTGTGATATATGTAATAATGGGACAAAATGTTGTTATATAAGGTCAGTAAACGTGCTGTGACATACTGCACACTGTTATATAACGTTAATAAACGTATAGAGATTATACAACATTAATAATAAGATCCTTGCTCTCTCTCTCTCTCTCGCTCATTTACTATCGACCAGGGGGACCGGCTCCACTTTAACGCCCCGCAGGTGTCCTGTCGGTGTTCCGGGTACTCTGGTAAACACTCACCCGGGTTCAGCAGCAGCAGTCGGTGACCTGTTGAACATCCACAGTCGGTGTGTCGGTGTACAGAGTCCAGCTCCGGTGTGTTAGCTCCGGTCCCCCTAGCTTCTAAGTCTCCCGTGAACACTGACCGTAACAAACGGCTAACGGCGCGCTGTCGCGCAAACTCGTTTATAACACTACTGCCGTTCGCAGAGTGTCCTGCCCTCCCGCCGAGCAGCTCTCGACCCGGACTCGAACTTTACTCCGGGCTGGGTGACCCGGCAGCGGACCCACGATTGCTAACTGAAGCTAACTGCTAACAGGAACTTTGTTGTTTCTCTGATGTGGACATGAAAAGCGCACGAAGTTCCGGGTTAAATCGCTCCTCCTGCTTCACAGCCGCCCGGGACAGACGCGCGCACGACCCGCCGTCACTCCTCCACCAACTTCTTCTGCTACACTGAACCGGCGTGAGGACGGTCACACCGGCGGAGGCAGAGAAAAGTTCAGCATCCGTTTACCTGAGCAGCGGCCCGCGTCCGGATACCGACACAACGTGCCCTGAAGGGCGGGCCGCGTTCCGATACTGAGGACGTGACCTCCCTCTCCTCCTTCTGCTTTTATCCGAACAAAATATAAGTAGCTGCAGGGTGGTGGGGAGGGGGTGTGATATTTAAAAAAATAAATGAAATAAAACCTCTGATGGTTGGAGGTTAAAGTGATACATTTCAAATAAAATTATTTAAAGTTTACAAAATTAACTTCTAAATTAACAATTAAAAAACCTTGCAAAAATTGACAAATTTATGTAAAAAAAATACTACCAAATTTCAGACAAAAATATGGGAAATTTATAAACTAAAAGATGAAAAATAAGTTTTTGAGAAATAAATTTGCAAATGTACAATGAAAAGACGTAGCAATAATTGGAAATTTATGAGAAGAATAATGCCAAATGTCTGAGAAAGAACTGCAAATTTCTGGTGGAAAAAAATAAAATAAATAAATAAATATATATACATATAAGGAATAAACGTTTTTCTTTTTTAAAAAATACAATTTGAGTCAGAAAGCCTAAATTCTCTAAATAACTTCCACTTGATAGAAAGAACATGAATTTATACCCAGTTTCACCAGGATCATTTATACATTTAGATCAAAATCTCTCAGGAGACCTGCTCAAAAGTAGCAGTCATACACTGAATCATAATGAAAACAATGCACATGCAAAATTATATTCAAATATAACAAAAACAGCAACCGCCACATCCACAATTCAGCAATACCTAAAAACATGTTTGTCATGGAGGTGTCTTCCATCCTTTGTATACAGTTTATAACACAGTGATTACAAATAGCAGCAATAATGAACTTGAGTGTTCATTTACAGGTAGCTCATAGTCTTCTGCTAATTCTTTAGTTGCATTAAACAGACCTTAGTTTGAGTTAAAAGGGTTTAAGATTTGTTCAAACAATGAACTCATTTGGTTTCTGCTTTGCATATTCTGTCACAATTACTTCCTACTGCTGGACCGCACACTAAACACATCAGCACTTTGTCAAGCAAACTTGTTCAGCTGGTTATTTATGCAAATATGTGATCAGACAATCACATGGCAGCAGCTGAATCTATTGAAGTAAGCAGATGTGGATAAGACGACCTGCTGAAGTTTGAACAGAGCATCAGAACAGGGAGGAAAGATGGCTGAAGTGACTTTGTACATGGCACAGAGCGCCTTTGGATCAGGTGACCCTGAATCCTCCCTTAGTTATGCTGCAATAGGCCGAGGCTGCTGATGCATTGAGTGTTTCTTCATTAATCACTGTGTTTTTACACCACTTTGCATTTAATTATTATTTAGTATTAATCTCTGGTTCTCTTCCTCAGCATGTTTTTGTCTCGTCTTCCTCAACTAACCCCAACTGTTTGAACCAAATTGCTGCCCCGCCCTGAGCCTGGTTCTACTGGAGGTTTCTTCCTGTTAAAAGCAAGTTTTTCCTTCCCACTGTCGCCAAAGCGCTTGCTTATCGGGGACCATGTAATTGTTTGGGTTTTCTCTGTATTATAGTAGAGTCTACTTTACAATATAAAGTTCCTTGAGGCAGGTAAGACTGTGTCCTTAGACATTTTTTGAGTCCCTACATTGTCAGTATTATTTTACTGTGCACGCAGAAAAGTTGTTTCAGACACACTGAACTACAGATGTCAGTGAATTTTCTTTTCTCAGATCATTGTTGGCATCGTGATGTTTGCACACTTGCATTTACTTGTGAGAAACGAGTAAAAACAGCCAGGAAACAAGAGGATCTAACACTTACTCCCCTGTGTGACTGCGCTGAAAAAAAAATCCAACAATAAAACACTGCAGATCTAAAGGAGGAGAAATCTTTATTTAAAAAGCACCTGCTGACAGCCTCAGGCTTTATTTACACCAAGCTTCATTTCCATCATGAAACATCAGAAAGAGTTCAGAGTGGAAAAAGTACAAACGACCAATAGAAAACCTTTTTTTAAACAGAGTTACTGTACAGCAGAAAAAACAGACTGTACACAGTGCACCTGAATGCATCGTAGCAGAGCCACAGTCCACACAGTGGTACTACAGCTGGTCCTGGACCTGAACTGGGACGCAGAATGGCAGCAGGAGGCCCCAGAGCAAAGAGCTGTACTGGAGACTAGTACAACTTCAGCAGTACAGGAAACAGAGCTTTAACCTAAAAATCCAAGTACTTAACTCAGCTGGAGGAAATTTACTCTCATACTGAGACACAGAAAGAAAGAAATGTTAAATCATCAAAATACTGTACAGGGTTTGGTTGAGAGAGGCTCCACTGAACCTGGACATCAGCACGTCTGCAGTCCTGGTCCCTGAATACTAGCACTGCACATTACCAGTACTACAGCAGGAGTACAGCACTGCACTCAAGCTAATACTGGTACTGGAGAGTACAGAATGTGACAAATATTCAGACTGGTACCACACCATTATATCCTGGTACTGCAGTAATGCAGTATGTTTAGTGGCGCTGCAGTATTATGTACAGGTAGAGCAGTACGGCAGCTCGAACAGTCGTGAACACGCGTGCTGTATTTACATCGTATCTTCACATGTTTCTGCTTTGGTGTGAGCGTGGAGTGAGGAGAGGGGCATGCTGAGACTTTCTGAAGCCGGAGGGTCACATGACCAGACAGAAAAATAAAACTATCCAACACCCTGCCTGGATCTCTGGAGGTCGGCGATGCTTACGCAAAATATGACTGAAACGTTTTGCAAACGTGCCTAAAAAATGCAAACAAATGGCCCTGATTTGGATTTGGCCATTACCCACTCCCAGGTCAATACAACATTCCCAGTCTCTGCCGAATCACCTGCTGCTGAATTCCTTAAATTCATTTGGTTTCCATTGAATGTTCTCCCTCAACAACGCTTGATAAAATATGATCCTTGGAGACTGGAGAGAATATGGGCAGGCCTGTTAGTTTTTTAAAGAAAACCAGGCGTAGCTCATCCTCCTAACGCTGTGGGCTCTTCCAGTAGAGACACTATTTGGACTTTAAACTTCTTACACTGCTGGAAATAGATTTATTCTCGTGCTGAATGCACCCTACTGTTAGTTGGTCTATTCAGCCATACCCACAAACCATTATCGATGACTTTTCCTAAGCAGCTGGCAGGTTAAATACTCATTCATGTCTGATTCAACAGTATTAGAAAATAGCCTGAAGCTTCAGCTTCATAAGGCACCAAATCACTCTGGACTGTCTCAAAGATGGCTCTCCTACATGACACCAGACATCCAAGAGCTGGAGCAGATTAAAGACCACTTTATGTATTTGGGTAAGTCCTGGAACAGTTCTGGGCTACAGGTCATGTGTGAAAACTGGAGATCCAGCTCTCTCGATCCTCAAAATTAAAGTTGACGTTTGCTCTCTGAGCAAGTTTGAGATCCACACTGAAATCAACAGAAGAGCGCTGGAAACAGGATAGTGCTAAATGAGAGAAGCCTACATTAACGGGGACGACAGCCAAACTTAAATCAGATATGATTTTTGCTTTTGTGATAGAACACAAATCTGATGTTTTCACCTTTAAAATGTCTTAAAATCTTCTTCTAAAGTGAATCTGTGACCTGAGAAACTTTCTTTGATGTATCGTAACCTCTCAAGTCTCAGTCTGATCTACCGACTTGGTCTGAGTTTGTCGTCATATTGGGTCATGTGACCGCGGCTTCATTGTGGGGGAAGCTGGAGGTCAGGCCGGTTTCAGTGAAGCTGAATTTAAAAATACAAAGCTGGGACTGGGTCAGGCAAAGCTGCAACTTATGAAGACAACCGCACGCTGAAAGACGATCAATAAATACAGACAGTAGGAACGTGTGGACACAGATCCTGATCAATAACTTATGGATTAATAACACTGACTTCACAGCGCTGAAAAAGCTGCATTTCATTCACGGGCATTTTTATAAAACCTTTTTTCTGGAGCAGAGTACCAAAAAAACAAAAGAAAAAAACAGAATAAATTCAAATTCATCGATTAAACAGTCACTACTGTGACGACTGTGACATTTCCTGATTGTCGCTGCAAATGCTTTTTTTTTTCCTGAAAGAGCGATAAAATTTGCAAAGGGAAACTTGGAACAGCTCCTCTTATTGCTTCAGTCGTCCTGGACTTGGAGTCCCGGTCAGCTCAGCAGGACAATGGCTTCACTGAGGGCTCCGAATGGGGCAGAAGGTCTGAGTGGTTCTTGCAGCTTTCCAGCTGCTGATGCTGTTTCTCCACATCTGGATCTCATTTAAACCACAAATACAGAAACCTCCAAAGCGATCCCTCTTAATCAATCGAGTGTCTGATCAAACAACTCCTGGTTCCCTTAGATGTGACTATTTTCGTCTTTCTGCGAGAATAAACTGTGTCGCAGCTGATGACTGTTTCATTATGGATTCATCTGCTGATCATAATCTGGATTCACTGTTTAAAAAAACATGAACAACAAAAACTGGGGAGGGGTTTCCAGTGCAGGAACTACAGGTAGCTGTGGGGTATTTTCCTTGAATTGGTGCCTCATTCAACAAAGAGCCTTTACACTTCCTGTTAATGCAAAACCCTCAATGAATGGGAGTCACCGGAGCCAAATCGCTTAAATATTTATTAACTCTTCTTCTGTAATTTTCACAAATGCAAACAACTTTCTCAGCTGTCACTCTGCTAATGTGTGCCAACTGGTCTGTTAAGACCTTATGAAAATCTAGAAGCAGCTGTTTGTGGTGCATGAAGGCGACTCATCTCAGGAGGCTGCCGAACACCTAATAACTAAAAAAAAAAAGATATTTTACCACAATCCAAAGTTTCAGCTCCATAGAAAAGAGTATTGGAAACAAATGAGAGAAGCCTTCACCAAAGGGGATGGCAGCCAAACTTAATTAGTGTCTTTTGCTTTTTATAGGAACAGTAGTTGAACATTTTGAGGGGATGCCTGTGATGTCTTGGTGTTCTACTGATGTCTAATGATAAACTGAAGACTTCACCTTTAACATTTCTAAAAAGGATCCAGTGACCTGTGGAAGAGCGCCATAGAGCCCCACTCATTGTGGGCCATCTCAAGCACATTCCCTAAAGGAGACGTTTACCGACCATGTGCCTTTGTTTTGCCCTGAAAGGAGTCTTCCAGGTGTGGTTCTGACAAAATATGTGCTAGTCGTTCAAATTCTAGGTTCAGACTACAAGAGTTTAAGTTTCCTTTGTCACATTTGTAAATTACTCTCTGGGGTTAAACTGCCTGGAATGGGCAGCTCGGAGGCCACGATGCACCAGGATTCATGCATCGGCTAAAGCGTCGACTTTGCACTCGGGAATTAAATACTGGTTTATTTGTGATCTGACTGAGCTGGACATGGGCTGGAGTCATAGTAAAGCTGTGTGAGTTGCATGTGTGAAAATGGCTCTTTGATAAGAAACAGCTGCCAGGGGTTAAAATAAAAATAAACTTTCTGCGTTTGTAATTTCTCACTGCAAAGTGCTGCTAAATTTAAAAACTTTACCATAAAACCTCTCCGGTGTTCCTGCAGTGGAAACCAACAAACTATCCAAACCTTAAAATGATTCGAAGTGAATTACTAAAATGCAAAGTGTCAGATATTCACATTTCAAATCCTTCGACTCGGTTAAAAAGTCGAGAAACCAAATGAACCTTTCAGCAGTTTGTATCGGCTTTTAAAGTGTCCCGTTTGCAAGCATCCTCGTTTCCAAGTATCTAAAGTTGTCAGATAAATTAACGCGTACAGAAAATATTTCCCTTTTCGGAGGAAAGGCTCGTGAGTACGTCAGCTTCTGTGAGTCCCTCTGCAGCAGTGAGGTGGGAAGCTCCGTTTACTTCAGAGGATTTATTCTGTTCACGTTTGGTTTCTACTCGAGGGCTCTGCAGCTGCTTAAAGCCACAAACAGCAGCAGCGACAGTTCAGCTGGTGTCAGTAAACTCTGTGCTCGAGTTTTAGTGCAGAGATGTTGAGTCCAAACCGGGAGAACGCTGGAGAACCTCACCGCGACGCTCCCTGCCTGGACTCACCTGAGGGATCGACAGGTCACCTGATCAAGTCACCAAAAAGTTCTTTTTGCGCTTTGCTGGTTGGCTGCAGGTAGCTGGTGATGTCATCTGTCTTCAGAGGAGGTACGTCCTCCTCGTTGGTGTTTTGAGAGTCTGATTGTCTAAGCACAGTCTGAAGGGTGTAGGAACAGAGCCACGGACACCTTGTTCAGTTTCTGCTTTAATCTAAAACCTTTCAGAAAATGGCTGCATCTCTGAAAGGACTCCAGAAGTCTTTGTTCTAGCTATCCCAGAAACAGGAACCTGTGAGAGACGCCGTATCTCCATCTTCAATCTGAACGCCTGAGAAATAACGACTTCCACAAAAGCAGAGAATCGTCTTCGGCTCGTCCATCTGCAGCTTTTAACAATAAATCTTAAAATGTATTTGGAAAAGACGCGTACAGCATGTGGCTGGTGTTTCAGCATCAGTCTGATGCCACCGTAGGAACCCGGACCTTCCTTTCTGAACAGTTACGGCTGCTTTTGGCCACTGATCATCGGGCTGAGTTCGTTTCTCTGAGAACTGCGACTCCATTGAGCGAAGAGAACCAAAGATTTGGCCACGACCATTTACGTCGCTTACATGTTAGAAACTAAAATCCCTCAGAGTGAAGTAGCCGTTAGGATAGCTTGAGAAATCTCAGGGCAGGTCGTGCATGTGAACATCTCTAATTAGTCCAGAAATGTAGCATCTTCCACAGCAGATGACACTTTTGGTGGCAGTAATCAGGGCGAAGCAGAACGAGACAGATTACTTTCTGAATCCAGACTTTAATGCCTGCAGGGGACAACTGTCAGAGGAAATCGCTCAATCTTCTTCTTTGCAACACAGATTGCTGCAGGAACTTTTTCCTGTCATTAGTTCCTAGTAGAACTGATGTTTCTGGAGAGTTTGGTGGAAAAGCAGCTGTTGACTTAAAGTCCATCCCTGATAGAAGAAGTTCACCGAGCAGAGCAGCAGTGACCCAAGCAGCGAGGAGCAGGTCCAAGGTGGGAGGAGGGTTGGACCTCCTCCCTCCTTGGACCTGGTCTGGGGTTTGGTTCATTTTTACAAACAGAAGCTCGACCCTGAGGGCAGACGAGGACGAGGCAGGCGGGGTTTTCCATCCTGTACGATCAGGAACTTCCATTCATCAGTACCAAGGTGTGTTTGATTCAGACACCTGGACACGCATTCCTTCATACTGCTCATCCCAGGAAGCCAGCCTGGAATTAGTCCCTTTGCCTGCCTCTCAGCATCGTGATTGGTTGCTGAGTCAGACCAGAGTCCCAGGAGACGGTTGGTCCATCGGCGGATCTCTGAGAGGGACTTCCTGTTTCTGAGCAGGGAACGAGTCGTGGTAGAGCGAGCCATCCACAGACCTGTAGGAAGGACAGAAATGGATATTTACCCACACAGCAGGAAAGTCTTCCTAAAAGTCGCCTCAAACTCATTGCGCTGCTTTCGTTTGACCTTTTAGGTACTTTAACATTTGTTCTCATTTTAAATATCACTCTTGCAGCTTCAAAACAAACATTACTGCTGAACAGAGGATAAGAGTTCTTCAGGGTTCGGACCGACCGCGGTGACCAGCAGGTTGGAGCGGATCTGTAACGAGGAGGCTTCAAGGCTCAAAGCTGAGGAGAAGCGCTCTCTGCTGAATACGTTTTGACTAATTTACACTGATTACCATCATCGAGCTTGAGGATAATCATGTTGGAAGATCTAAGCAAGTTTTTGCTGCCGTGTCTGGAATAAAGAACCTGCTGTGATCAAAGACGAGTCGGACGCTCCGGCTTTCAAAGCAAAGACTAGAAGTGAAGAAAAAGCGTCCTTCGAAAAAAGGATCAAGTAGATTTTAGCAGGTTTTTATGATTTTAAATCTACTTTTAGTCCGGACACATTTACTTCTGAGTATAAAGGGGGGCGTGGTCATCTGACCCATACCTGCCGTGCAGCGGGTGTCCGTGGAACGTGGCTGAATGCGGCAGCGTGTGTTTGTGATGCGGCGCAGCGTGATGATGATGATTCGTGTCCGTCTGATAAGCCGACTGCTGAATGACACCGTGTGTCGTCCGTCTTCGCTGCAGAGCCCCGCCTCCTCCCGCCTGACCTTTGACCCCTCCATTCATCTTACTGCCGTTGGTCCCTGCGGTCACCTTTCCATTGGCCTGGTTCTGGTGGGAGGAGCCTAAGGTGTTCCTTAGGTACCAGTCCCTCAGACCTGTCAATCACACATCAACAGCTCATCACAGTTTCTGCTCCATGGAAACTTCTCCCATCACCACACTCAGAGCAAGTTTCACTGAGCTGACTGTCTTTAATCGTCAGCCATCTCAGCAGGTTCAGTCCAACCTCTGAATCTCCTGCAGACTTTAGCTGTGTCTAGGTAGAAGATATGGTTTAAAGACTCTCAGTATAACCACAGTTGTCAATGACACCCACATCAAACCACAGTGGTCTGTTGCACTGTTACGTGTACTGAACCTTAGATTACACATTTAAAAAAAATAGAGGAAGTCACTTAGCTAACCGATCACTCACTGGTTAGCTAAGCTTCATGAACGGGTTGAGGTTTCACTCTGATTCTTTTGATGGTTACAATCCGGGTGTTTTTAAACCACCTGCCTCATTATGTGTCACACGAGCGTGTGGTGACAACAGACATCTGTCTGAATACACAAACCCCGTTTTATCTACTAACTCAATAAATGAACATCGGGTTGCATTAAACAAGTGAAACTAGAAATGAGGTCACAGAAGGAGTGAGCGCCGTTTACCCTTCTATTTAAACTCTATGGTAGTGCGCCTGAGACTTGATAACAGACAATAAAGTTGACTTGATGCAGTGTAGACAAATTGAGTGATGAAACAAACAACAGGCGGTGACCTCCAGTTTACACTGAGGCAGTCCCCGGCCAAGTGGGAAAGAGTGGGAATAGAATTAGCACCTCCAACTCCGGGACTATGGAGTACCCTCTCAGAGTCCAGGATGAGTTGCTTCCCCAAGTGGAAGAGTTTAAATATCTTGGGATCTCGTTTATAAGTGAAGGGAGAGTGGATCGTGAGACGGACAGAGGGATTGAGAGCCAGAGTAGAGTCCCTGCTCGGTGGCTCAGGATGAATAGGATGCCTTCTGGACGCCTCCTAGGTGAGTCTTACCAGGAGGAGACCCTGGGGCAAACCCAGGACATGCTGCAGAATCACGTGAGGTCTAGAGAAGTCTTGGCTTCTCTGCTTAGATGATTGCCCAGAGATGCAAGCGTGGGTAAGCAATGAATGGATGAAGCAAACATATTTGTGTTATTCTGTCTGACTTCCACCAGGTGGCATCACCTCCTCACTGCAGTACACCAGTAGACAGTTGCTGCTGCACTGACCCAGTTTTATCTCCATCCCATGAAACATTCAACACGTTTGAGCTTCACAGCTTCACAGATCAGCAAACATCAGGAGGTAAGAGAGGCTGAGCTGTAAGCTAATGAGCCCAAAGCCTCCGTACAGGAAGTGCAGAGCAGCTAAAGGGTAACAATACTCACCTTCCAGGGCGAGGGCCTTGTGGAGGCTCCTGGTGGCCTCCTCCAGTTGGGAGTCCTGGTTGGGGGGCAGCTGAGGGGGTCGGGGTGGCAGCAGGTGGGGGTGGGGGTCAGGCTGAATGGCGACCAGAGGGGGATTGTGGGTATCAGTCTGGATCTGCTGCACCGGGAGGAACGGACCGCACGATTTGGTTCGGGTTACCGTGACCCGCCGCTGGTCGCCTTGGGGGCCGCGGTAGGTGGGCGGGGCTCCTGATGGCTGCTGGGAGTAGCCATTGTAGACTACCTGCTGCTGCGATGTGATTGGCTGTCTGTGGGGCTGAGAATGCTGTCTCTGCAGCTGCTGCTGTTTTCCCCAAACATAGTCCAGCAGGACATCGCTGTACCCCGCTCCTCTTCCTCCTCTGTCTCCCCTTCCTCCTCCCCTTCCTCGCCCTGCACCTCCCCCTTTTCCTCTCCCATCGCTGACTCCATTATTTGCCCTCGACCGTCCGTCTGTCAACGTCTCTGAGTTCCAATACGCACCGGCTGTGCTTGTTCCTCTGGACCCCGGCAGCCCATTTACCCACAATCCCCCCTGCTGCACCCCAACATCATCCTCAGGAGGGGTGATGCGGTCCAGGAGGCCATCAGAGCTGTTACTACGGCGAGCTGCATTAGCCTTGAGTCCTACCTCCCCTCCTGCTCCAGGGTCAGACGGGCCAGAGGAAGAGGAGTCCTGAGAGCGAGGGGGAGGGGGAGGGGGAGGAGGTTGTGAGGGAGGCAGTGGGAGGGGCTTCTGGCTGTCCAGATGCTCAGTTCTGAAAGACAAAAGGAAATATTTTCAGTATACAGAGAGGGGGGGGTTGTTCGTGCTTCCAAAACCAAACATGATGAGGTGACGCTGAACATGAAACCTCAAGAAATCTGTGAGCTCCGATCATGAGATCACAGACCGTGACACAAATGTGGACGTGCTCTGAGCTGTACCTGTGCACGGAGTTCCTCCTGGTTCTGTTCTGATAGAAAACCTCCACCGGAGACCCAGAAGAAACCAGCAGGGGGCGACACTGAGACACACCGTCATCTGCCAGATACATAGACAGAAATTTACTTGTGCTAGAAATATTAACTTTAATTGAAATCTATACCTCAGTTCAACTTATAAAAGCTGTCAATCGCTTATATTTTCCTTATGATATTGTAAGTCAGGATAAAGACAGCTGTAACCATGGTAACCGTGCACAATGAAGATTATGTCAGATATCACGATGTTTGTAAGACAAGCAGGTCTTATAATTTAAGGACATTTAATTTCGGAACAGTGTAGCAGGGAAAACATCACATTCATAAACACGACCTTTAAAAAGATCGATAAACCTGCACATTATGAAATAGATAAAATAATTAACTGATTAACTGTCTAGTGTTTGCCTGATGTCTAGTATACAAAATGTCTTATGATAAAAATACATAGAGAGAATAAAAACATGTGTTAAAAATTAAAAAAAACGCTAAATAATCAAAACATCCTATGCCGAATCAGTCTGTTCGCCTATTCACTGCCAGCAGCCGTGCAGTTCTCCAAAATGAGAGCAGAACTGCATTCAACTTTTACTGTTATTCCTCCTGTCAGCCAGCTGAGGGCGCTGCAGCTACACTACCAGTTTTACAGTGTGTTTGCTTGTACATCCATCTTTGCGAGGACCACTGAGAGCTTCAGAGTGAGAGCAGGTCCACAGCACAGACCTTCTGTTTCAGGGTTACATCAGAATCGGGTTTATGTTCGGGCTCAGGAGTGTTGGAAAAACATTAAGTGATGGTCCTCGTACAGATAGAAGGGTGTGCGCGCGTGTGTGTGTTCATTACCATTGTCGTGTCCTGTTGAGTCTGATGTCGAGCTGCTCTCTGACCTCACTGTGTCGTCTGGAAACACACACACACAGAAACAGAGTAAGAATAAAAGCAGGAAGACGCTGGTTTCCTCATCTTCCTGAAACAATGGCTTCTCATCTACTGCCAGCTGTGAGTGTCTCCATATGTATGCATGTGTATCTATGTCACATCTATCGCACTGACTGCGCCTTCTGCGTCTTTAGTCCTTTGAAGACCCTCCAAAGAGGACGGCTTTCAGGAAACTGATTAATTTAGTTGTGAGGTCAGTGAGTGTGATGTAAACAGACTCATATCTTTGACTAGAGCTGATTGCAGGGTTTTACTCGCTGCGTGAACGTTACATAATGGACTCAAATGAAAACATGCGAGATGTGATAGTAATGATGAGATTACAAAAAGCAAAAACTGTATCCCCCTTCTCTCCTCACGTTGACCAGTCCCAGCCTCTGACCACTCGCATGTGAACAAACCTGCGCAGATAAGAAAGGCCTTCCATGTCCATGATGTGAAAGTTCTCCTCACCTAGGAAGGGATTAGTGTGTTTGGGCATGAGTGAGATGCGAAGGTAATGTCGGAAACCTGTGAAGTGTGTGTGTGTGTGTGTGTGTGTGTGTGTGTGTGTTACCTGTGTGGGTGTGTGTTCTGTGTGTGTGTGTGTTACCTGTGTGTGTGTGTGTGACCTGTGTGCGAGTGTGAGTGTGTGTTACCTTTGTGTGTGTGTGACCTGTGTGTGAGTGTGTGTGTGTGTGTGTTACCTGTGTGTGTGTGTTACCTGTGTGTGAGTGTGTGTGTGTGTGTGTGACCTGTGTGTGAGTGTGTGTGTGTGTGTTACCTGTGTGTGTTACGTGTGTGTGTGTGTTACCTGTGTGTGTGACGTGTGTGTGTGTGTTACCTGTGTGTGTGTGTGTGTGTTACCTGTGTGTGTGTGTTACCTGTGTGTGTGTGTGTGTGTGTTACCTGTGTGTGTGTGTGTGTGTTACCTGTGTGGCAGCCTCTGTGGACAGTCCTCTTCCCGTGGTGTGTGTGTGTCTGCGTGTGTGCGTTGTGCTCAGAGTCGCTGTGTTTCCTCAGAGCTCCGCTGAATAAATTTTTCTTCGGCTTCGAACGCTGAGCGTCTTCCTCCTAAAGAAAAAACACACGCAAATACCTAAAGGTCACACCAACACATGCACGCACAGGGATATACAAACAGATATATACAAACTGCCTCAGCTTGAAACACACATGAAGGTGAAAACTGTTCCATCAACAACAAACAACACACACACACACACACACACACACACACAGAGGGGGACAGTAAAATTCTCCACCACTGTTGAAATTATTTAGAGTCAAATCACTCCTCAGCTCCTCACCTCTACTCGACACTTCCTGTTTCCCTGGCGGGACGTCCCACCTCTCCTACGAACACAGGGGGGCTTCTCCCCTGCCTCCAGGGGGAAATCACTGGGCACTGCACCCGTCAGCTCCTGACCCAGGAAAACACAGGAAAACCCAACTTACAGCTATCTGGCAGTTACTTTAGTCATTGTTTAAGTATAAACTAAGGTAGAGTCGGCTGAAGTAATCAGAGGTTGGGGACTGGACAGAGAAGACTAGTCAGAGACATAAAAAGAGCATCTGCAGATGTTCAAGCACCAGATAAAGACATCTGAAGACCACGTGGAGAGGACTAGTTGCAGAGAGGGATAAAAGGATTAGTTGGAGAGTGAAGAAGACTAGTTAGCTGCAGAGCTAAGAAGACTTTGGTTTAGGTGGGAATGCACTGTCAGTGTCTTAGTCATATTGTCATCTCTTTTTATGACATCACTTACAGCTTCCTGCAGACAGATGCGTCTCAGCTCAGCCAATCGGCTGCTAAGCAGCGCCTGGAGACTCCGCCTCCTCTCCTGTAGCTCCACCATTCGCTCTCTCTGCTTCCTGTCTGGGCAGGTGAGAGGGTCTGCAACATGCAAGCAACACACACACGTAAGAGACAGCTAACAGACACACTCGAGAGTGTAGCATCACCACATGTCAGCGTTTATTCTCACCAGGTGCTGAGATGAGTTGACCTTTGACCTCCATGGCTTGTGTGTCCCATATGCCCTCTCCACCTCCTCCTTCCTCACTACTCGACTCCTGTTCACCTCCCCACACACTCTCTCTCACCTGCAACACGTTGTCATCACAAATAAAGGTTAGTACTGCAAGCAAGCACAGACTTCCTGCAGTCCTGCAGACACTGACAAACCCTGCTGCTCGTGTGATGTCAGCACCATGTTTTGACAATTAGCCAATCAGAACCTTCGGGACTTTCTCACCTTGCGACTGGGTTCATAAGAGTTCCAGTAGTTCACTCCTGTGGCCATCCAACAGTCAGAACACAAACCACAGCACCGCTTCACTAATTGGGCATCTCACTGCTCGGTTAGCTGTTAGCTGACGGTGAAGCTGCAGTTCCAAAATGGGCCTGAAGAGGGAGGCAAACAGTCTTCAGCGCTCCTGACCTAGGAGAACAAAAGCACAAGAAGAAAAAAAAGAAGGTGGTAGAGTGAGGACCAATCAGGAAGTCAATAAAAGATTATAAGCTAAAGTTCAAAACAACAGATTTTCTCTCAAAAAGTCACAAATACTATCAAAGTAAACATTTTAAAATGTAAAAACTACGTGCAGTTAGCTTGAACTTAGAACCTTAACAAATACATTTACACGAGAAATTGCCAATGAAAAATAAAGGTAGAAAAAAAAAAACCTTTCTAAGAAATACTTGGAGTGGCTCTGGCTGAGCAGGCGACCCTGCCTGGGTTTGATTCCATCCTGGACCATTTCCTGAGACACATTTCCTCTTGCCCTCTCTTTCTCTTTCCTGTCTACTCTCCTCTATATCTGTCCTGTCCAGTAAAGACCAAAAGAAAGAAAGAAAATCACCAACTCTGGAGGACGAGGTCTCATTAGCAAACTACAGCACAAACAAATGTTTAAATAGCGAAACATGTAGGTGCACTTTCAGCTGCTCCTTTATTCACAGCGCTCGCCACGGCAGGTAGCTCTGCACGCTTGATTTGGCCAATTTATGTATACTCCATATGACTCTATATGTTTGCATCTGTGCATTAAGTGAGCTGTTACACTCAAGCAGCATCAAACCTTGCAGTTGTTTGGCCACATGTTGGTGGCTGCAAAAGCCAGTAGCTCACCATAGACTCTCATTAAAATGTGCAACTTCTCAGCATTAAAAAGCACGTTTATTGGCTGGTATGAAGAAAGGTTTGGTGTCTGTGGACAGCTGTACAGGGGGGATTTTTAATAACTGATCCATCTGCATACGGGTGAAGCAGATGTAGCTGCTCGGTGTTTGCAGGGTCTCACCTCAGCTAAAGGCAGTCACTGAACTGGACCTCCCCAATGTTTTTGTGCTGCTGTTGCCTTTTGGAGCGTTTTTAATGGAGGATCAAATAACACGGCTAGCTCTGTGATACAAACGTCTTTATTAGCACCAATTAGCAGGTAGGTGTGCCAGTGTGTTGCACCCACAGGGACACTGTGGAAAATATCCTGACCTGGTTCTCACAAATCTGTCTGATGTTGTGGCTTATTTGTAGATGCTTCCAAGCCTTCAGCGGCCAACAGAGAAGCATCAATCTCGCCCACCTGATTTGACCCAAACACCAACAAAACGTTTGGATTCACATTTTAATTGCAGATTTGTTTTACATGCAAAGAAAGTGCAGGTAAAACCTTAAACCCATTTTCTGTTTGACTGCAAAATAAAGACACAAAGTTCACACATAAATGCTTCATACAGTTTTATTCTTTAAAAGCTCAACGTGCCCTAAAGTAGCCGGTCTCTGCATTTTTACCAAGCAAACAGGAGAGGATGTTGCATTCATTAGAGAATGAAACAATTACATTTGGTGCTTTCGCGAGAGTTTTTACAAAGAAAACCTACAAATACTTTGAGTTCATGGTGATAATTAAGTATGTCAGCCACTAAGGATGACTCAGAGGCTTTAATAGTTTGGAAAAGGCAAAGCCTTGAAGATCCTCGGGTTAGGGATTCAGTCTGTGTTTGTCGGTCTCTAAACTGGGATTAAATGCACAATATGAGCAGAGATACGATTTAAATGGATCTGAAACAATGAAGTATTTTCTCGTGGAGCTTCGTGATTAAACGCGCAGGTTTGTGTGCTGGAGCTGCAGACGGAGAGAGCTGGCTCCAGATTTACTGGGTTTAAAGGAAAAATGTGGAGAGAACGGCGAGTACTGACATGCCTCAGACAAAAGACAGACACACAACACACACACACAAAGGTTTATGTGTCAGTCTGTAGCCAAAACAGAGAAAGACCAAAACACACGAAGCCCATTTACAGTGACAGCGTGGTCAGGCGACAGATGTTTGAAGCTCGTGTGACCTCTGCATGTCTGTCTGGAGAAATATTATCTGGACCTTTGAAAATCCAAATTTTAAAAAAGAGAGAGTGAGAGCTTAAGTAGTATCCTGCCTTGTGATTGGCTGGGAGCAGGTGTTTGATCTCTTCCTGCTGGTTGGAGGAGTGAAACCGAGAAACATCTGCATCATCAGACAGCAGCAAAGTCACAGCACGATGGAAACAGGCTCTGAGCGTTTGTAACATTTTTACATGTAAACTTTAACCGTCTCCAGCTGTTCCTCTGGTTTTAGTCAACATTCATCAACAGTTTTTTCTAATCCAACCACATGTGCAACACTGACTGATGACAGCGTCACTGCGTTTAAACCTAATTAGTTCAAAAGCCCACAGAGGATAAAAACACACCATGCAAGCCTCTTTGTAAGAATAAAGAGGTTTTACATTTTAAATGCTGTCAGTGGCAGACTGCACGTCCGGAGCATGCAAACGTTTCCTCGAGGAACCTAACAATATTTAGTAAAAATCACAAATAGGTTCATGGATCTCTGAGAATCCACACTGCAGATGTCTTTCTGTAGTGTTTACAGGACTGCGTTGTGCACATACAGCCTCTCTCATGCAACATCTACCTGCCTGTTTGAGCATCTGTTATAACAAGGCAATCAAGACCAGAGCAAAAGGTAGTTTTTCTAGCTTTAGATCTGTTCAGATTTGATCATCTCCTGTCCGTTTGCCTCCTAACAGGGATTCAATACTACAGAAAATCTTATAAAACCACAGCACGACGTCACTTCCCATCCTGGAAATGTTCCAGCCCAACAGAGGAAAGCAGACACGAAGAAAACAACAAGGAGTCTGAAACCTCTGCGCACTTTTACCCTCCAACTGGAGGAGAACGAGATGTCCTCCGACAGCACAGCCCTGAGAACAGGAAGTGGAGCCCAACAGGAAACAGGAAGAAGGAAATGAGTGATGAAAAAAAAAAAGGGGAAATTGGGGGGGATGGGAAGGACTGACTGGGAACAGCTGAAATGGTTGGTAACACTGGTGTGATTCACGCCACAGTATCCAGCAGCGGAGGATAAAATTCAAGTTTGTGTAGAAATGGCGAGGATCAGAGAGGCGGAGCTTATAGCATTATCACCGTCTTCTTCACACAGATGTTGAAACTGTGTAAGGAAGATTGCAGCAGATGGTTTGACGTCCTGTTTCTTTGGAAAGCTTCCTGTAGAGCAGAGTCAGTGTAGGGAGGAGGTCAGGGTGGATGATGCAGGATGTTCATAAAACGTTAAACTGGCTTTTGTTGTGACCAGTCAAACACATCTACTGACCCAGCTGCCCAGGAGGACAATAAAACAAGAACTAATTTGCAGTAAAGCTTCATTTGTTGACCGTATACGGACGCTGAAGTTATTTCAGTATTTTCAGACTGCTTCTTGGAGCCATTGGTGAGTCAGGCATGCAGGGACGAGTGCCAGGAGTCCACCAGGAGACGGAGGAGAAACAAAATTACAGCCTCTACTACTACAGAAAAAAAGAAAAATGTACAATCTGACACTAAGATCATTGAAAAGGGAAAAGAGCAGCTGTACCTGACATTTTCCTGCCCGAGCTGGCAGCTATTGTGAAAAAACGGGTGTGTGCACCAATTTTGGTACCTGTATCCACTTGTGAGCAATTTTCATGACATATGAAATCATCTGCTGCACGAACTACACCGATCTCACCGAAACCATGGAGTTCGAACACGGCTTTCACTGCTCGGGTATTTATTTGCATGACATTACAGAGGGGACTTTTATAAAAGCACAGATGCAGCACTGATCGACATCTGTGGGAAACACTGGATCTGGACTTTAACGTTAATCAAGGAGTTTTTCCCTCAAGGAAAAACAAACAAGTGTGAAGATGAGCCAGAGCTTACTGACGGGGTTTTCTGACACCAAATGCTCTGTCAAATGGTCTCCCCCTCCTCTCTGTCCTCCTCCACCCTCCTCTTACATTCCTGAGTCCTGCTGGGTCGAGTCCAGACCTGCAGCTCCTTCCTTCATCCATCAGCGGCTCGATTGATCGGCTTCAGCTCGTCCGTCTCCTCACGCCGCGATGCGCTGCTGTGATGAAGTGAAGTCTCCGAGACAGGTTGTTTGTGCTGCGAGGGCGACACGCACTCCTTCCCGTCGGCGTCCTTTGGTGTTTTGTTGCATCTCGTCACCGGAGGTTTGCTTCACATCTGTTTTTCTACTCTCACACACTCACAGCCTGGTCTTTGACCTTGTTGTCTGTGTGTGTGTTTTGGGGGAGGGTTGGGGTGTCACTCTCACCTCCCCTCCCCCCTCTCAGGTGTTGCAGGCCTGAACAGCTGATCTGATAACAGCCCGCTGAGGCCAATCTGTTTCCAGTCTGAGTGCCTGCCCTGATCTCTCTGAACCAGCACAGCCTCCATCATCACTGCGAGGAGCAAACGCTTTCAGAGCCTCGACGCTCGCCCACGTCACAGTTCAGGGGTCGGATATACGAAGGATGCGTGCACACAGACGACACACAAACACGGCTTTTTGTGTTAAAAGTTCAGAAATCCAGAACAAGAACTACAGCTACATCCAATTTTCAGCACTGAAGACTAAAAACGATGCAGCTCTTCTTTTAAACCCTTACCTTCTTCTGTAAATGATTTAATAACTGTAATTAAACGGATTTAATTTGATAGATTCACACTTCGTCGTCTCTTTTGTTTCAGTCGTGAAGCTTTAACAGCTGCTGCCTCCATTTATTTTGTGCCTTCGGTAGTTTTTCATCCGCTTGTGGCATCAGATCTGAGATTACCCAAAACTCATTTTTCCTGAATGTCTCGCCTTTATATTCTGCTTCTTCTTTGCTGCTGACCTAACATGACATTCATTCACAGCTAAATGTGAAAACATGAATGATGCTCGTGAACATGCACAACACTCCAAAATGATTGGAATTCACAAAAAGAGGACCAAGCACACGTGAAGCTTTATAAGTCAAACAGAAAATGCACAGGTTTCTGCCTTTGTGCACTTTTAGTCATGAATCTCTACAGTTCAATGCGTCTGGGCCGAGAGGTCTGCACTGTGAGGACTGAACCTCAG